AATAAAAAATAAAAATTGATAATTTTATTTTTATTCTTTTGTTAGCTTGCATTCTGAAGGACACTTTCCCTGAAAATTTTTTTTCGTAAGTTGTAAAACAAACATAAAATATACTGGGGACATGAAAATGACTGTTTTTGTGAGAATGATCCATATAAAGAAAATCACGTTGAATATTATAACAATCTTTATTTAAGACATGTTAAAGAGTTGGCTGCAAATCGCACTTCGATATGTGCGTGCTAGAGTTTTTATTTTAGTGAAAGCAACATAAGTTTGTCCCTATGATATATTGCGTCTTATGGAAAAGGGGAAACCTTAGTAATTACATATGAATGGGTGGAGGGAATAATAAGGCTATTACATTTAGTAAAGGGAAAAATCCAAAATGTTAATTTATGCATACTTGAATCTAAAAATAAAATAAGAAGCAGGATCTGAATACCAAAGCGTGAGAAACCATTTAATTTTGAATAATAAATTAAGTAGAAGATTTAGAAGAAGAAATAACATAAAAAGTTAAAGCTTTTTATGTTTCATCTCCTGCCCAAAAATTATATGAGCATTATGGGCGTCAAGAATAGCACCTTTATTCCATTTCTTTTGCTTTTTAGTATTATTTGGTTTTGTTTTTTCAATATTCATATATTACCTATGTTAATTAAGCATTATTGACATCAGTAATAGAGCGATTTTTTACTTTTCTTCGAGACTGGACGAATTGGATTTCTAGACTGGACCTTTATTCCTTTGCTTTATAAAATAGTTTTTTTTTTTCAATATGCTTGTATCATCTAAATTAATGAAGCATCATTGGCTTCAATAATAGTACAGCGACGTTTTCCACGTTGATAAAATTTTTTAATAATTTGTTTTGAATAAAGAATTAAATATGTGAAATGTTATAAAAGTGTTTTCTTATTTCTAATTTAAAATTTACTAAGATCTTGATGATTGACTTGCTTCTAAATAGTCCCGATTTCTCTAAAAATTCTCCGAGATTTGGTTGAAAAACTTTGATTTAAATGACATTTTGAGACGAGATAACAGTACTTCCTAATAAAATATTAAGACTCATATCCGCGAATTCACATTATATGAAGAGTGCCTGCTTCTATTTGACACAACATTTAAGGTCATTCTCCAAGGTCACTCTTTCTCTACTATTTGAGAATATTGGATTGTTTGATTGGCTGAAAAAACTCATTCTATTGTCAAACAAGTGGTGTTTGTGCTGCACCCTTTTCCGTAGTAAAATTTTTACTTCGAGAACCATAAGAAATGTTAACCTAAGAATATATAATTAATAAAAAATTACCTATAAAAATATTTTTAAAGCAAACAATACTTTAAAAAAGGGAGAAAATAAATAATTTAAAGAACATTAAATTTGGGTCACTCCGGGAGGTCAGCAGAATTTCTATTATGTACAATCACGGTGCCAAATAATCCATCCATTCCGGGTGCTCCCTAAATGTGCACTTCATGAGCCCCGATAGCTCAAGGGATAGAGCGTTCGCCTTCCAACGAGGTGAACTGGGTTCGAATCCCAGCGATGGCTGGTAGATACGAATCCGGCTTGCACCGAACACAGTGCTGACGTGAAATATCTTCAGTAAGAGTCTCCTTGCCGTTAGGCTAAACTTGGGAGGTCCTCGTGGTCTTCCTCTCCATGTAACGCAAATGCGGGTTGGTTTCATCAAAAGGTCCTCCACGAAGGCTCCCAATACTTGATCCAGGAGTTCTCTCGTCTTCTGGATTGGGTTTAAAATGACAAGGTTACGGAGTTGAACATGAGTAGCCCAAAATTAGGTCGGCTATTCAACGACGGTTTATAAAATAATATCTCAGAGATTTGCTGCCGTAAGATCAAAGCTGGTTTAGGCATCATAAGATGTTATTTTCTGTTGATTCAATCCTCTCAAATATTTTCTAGCATTATTTCGGTTTAACTATAACTGTTCATGGCTTGATTGTAAATCCTCTAATCACATACTCTCAATCACTGAACTATTTATGATTGCATTGATTGACAGCCGTACAAAATAATTTATATCACGGAGTAAAACAAATTTTTCAAAAAATTCTCTGTAATCAAGAAAACTATTTTGTGTTACTTAGTTTTACATTGCACTTAATATCATACAATCCTTGACCAAATGATGATCAAAGATTCTATGTGAAAACTTTATTATCAGGTGCTATACAGCTTCATTGTTTTTTTTCGCGACTGTTTGCACTTGTTTACGTTAATGTTTTAAAAAAGACGATGTATAAATGCGACTGTTTGCACTTGTTTACGTTAATGTTTTAAAAAAGACGATGTATAATATAAGATTGAATAAAATAGACGATATATTATACAAATATAGAATATTCATTTTATCAGATATAACATCTGTATAGTACAGTATTAGTGTATTATAATAATGAGACCCAAAGATGACGCACTGTTGTGTTTTAATAATGACATGTTTTGCACGAGCTTATAGGCAATACTTTTATATTTAAACACGCATGCCATGGGTTTTTTATTCATGAGATTTTTTATATACTTATTATTTGTATTTATTTATATCGTATTGCATTACAATGTTAAACCCATTGATGCACTAACATAAACAAGTGCAAGATGGTCTCGTAAAAACAATAATGCTGTATAGTACAGTAGGGAACCGATTATCCGGAACGATCGGGACCATCGCTATTCCGGATAACTGATTTTTCCGGTTTTCTGAATCGCTACAAAAAGCCGTTTTTTTTATCGTTAAACCCAACTAAAAAAAAAAAAATTATTTGGAAATAATCTTAAAAAGAAGAAAAAACGATGAAGTAATACAGTAATGATTATTTCTAAAATGATGGTATGGTAAACATCTTTCAAAAAAGAACGAAAAATCCTAAAATCTTATGAGGAAAAAATTTTTTTTTTTTAAAAATGGCTGGAAAATTTATCGAATTTCGTTCCGGTTTTTTGGTTTTTCGGTTTTCTGATTTCCGGATAACGGGTTCTGTACTGTATTATCATCTGATGATAATGAAGATGTTACATAGAGCGTCTAATCATTCGGACTGTATATTTTTCTTTTTACTTTTGATACTTGTGTTTTGCCAGTGAGCACATTTTATCCCAGATTCAAATTTGCACTGTTTGGACAGATTTTAGTCTCGAACCATATTTTGCCTTTACAAACATTTTTTTTTGAAATTTAGACTTGTCTGTTATCGACTATTCTTATTGGCAAGAATAAGAAAAAAGTCTCCGATAAATATCAAGCGTATTTGTTTAAACTCATTGGATGACAAAAGTTTTATACTCTGCTTTATGTGTGATTTATATTTAAATAAAAGAGGAAATCCCAACAAAACGTTTATTGAGTTCAGTTTATTCCAATCTTAATGAGCCAAAAGAGCTTTTTGTAAAATAATGTGCCAGTGAACTTTTTTTAAAGAAAGCACACTTCTGTATATATAAAAAAAATCTTAGTTCAAAAAAGTGGTAAGTGGACAATTTAATAACCTATAAAATCGTGATAGATGACTTTTAAAGTATAGATTTGAGACATTTTCTGTTTTATTTGTACTATCAAACATATCACATTCTAGTAGAATACAATGTATAATTTTAATAAAGTGAAATTAAATTTATTCAAATAGCCACCTCTTGAAAATGAACCATAGAGCAAAAGAAAAAGTATCTAAAAACGATTCCTTTAGTGTTAACTCAGTCAGAGACATCTTTTCAGAAGCATTCTAAAATTAGTTCTACGAGAAGCAATATCTGAAAAAACATTTAAAATGTTCCGTTCGGCAGAAGTGCTTGAAAAATTATTTTTCTCATTAGTTTAGTTATCTGAAAATGTGTTGCAAAACTTCAATATAAAATTTTTAAAGGTAGGCAGGTACTTTATTCACGTCGCACTAAAGCTGCACAATGGACTATTGGCGACGGTTTGGGAGACATCCCAATCTTGATCCTCAGCAGAGTGGATAGCTTTGGTAGCCCAATGACTTGAGCGCGAGCACTTTAAGGTAAAATAGTTTACCGCGCTTCTGCAGAATGTTTCAATCCCAACGCAGACTGATCATAACCACCCGCTTACTGACTGCAGCCACTGCTCTACTGGGAATCGTGTCTTGTCCACTGCGGGACAGTTTATAACAATGATAAATCAAAATAAGTCATTTTATCAGGGGTTTTTAAAAATTTTATAAAAAAAAAAGAACAAATTTTCAGATAAAGAAGGAAATGAAAATAATGCTTGGAAAATTAGCCTCTATAGGCCCTATTTTTCCACGCTCCTACCCAAAGGTTGATTTTAAAATTATTTCAAGTTGTTGCTTTTTCAGTGAATGAAGTTATTACAGCATAAAAGAGTCGCTGTTTCAATTTTGTCGCGCCATTTTTATTCATTGTTGTTTCCAGATAGGTGAGGATTCTTTGCTGTGTGGTGGTTACAGTTCTGCAGAATGTTTCAATTTGTGAATCATTTCCATTTGAGTCATTTTGGTGAGGAGGTAGTGCATGGAGTAACAGATGCCCTGGTAATCATCGCAGCTCATGTCTTTGATGAGGACACCCCCGTAATCATTCTCAATCACCCATTTCGCTTTTCTGACCACCATCATAGGTGGATCATAGCATGCCCATTGGTCACCCGAATAAGCGTAGAAACCGGCAGATTTGTGCTCGTCCTCAGTCCAGTTGCCTGCATTCAGGTATTGGCAAATCTAAAGAGAGGAAGAAAAATAATGAATAACGGCAAAGATTGCCACTGGGTGATTAGTTTTGTTCATCGCCATCTTTTTTTCATCAATAATGAAACCCTTAGTAAAATTTGCCATAAAGAAATCTATGGTAATCAATGGCAACCTATGGATACCACAGAAATTTGTATGGCAAGATACCATACACCTATTATGGTAACCATAGAGATCCGTTCGGCATTTATTTGGCACAACACTATAAGCTTATGACAACCATAGAAATTTGTATTGCAAGATATCATAGGCCCATGGTATCCATAGAGATCTGTATGACATTTATATCGCATGAAGCCATAGGCCTATGCAACCAATGCGCAAATTTTTTGCTTTGTTTATCGGTCCCTTTTTTTCATCAAAAATGAATCCCTTAGTAAAATTTGCCATAAAGAAATCTATGGTAATCAATGGCAACCCACGGATACCATAGAAATTTGTATGGCAAGATACCATAGGCCTATGGTAACCATAGAGATCCGCATAGCATTTATATCGCATGACACCATAGGCCTATGGCAACCATAGAAATTTGTATGGCAGGATACCATAGGCCTATGGTAACTAGGACTGGGCGATATAAGAAATTTTATATCGTGATGCATCGTCAGTTTTGCATCGCGATATAGTAGTTTTGAAATTCATTTACTTGTAAGGCGCAGAAAGTCGGATTTCTATCAAAACTTCATACTCAGATTGATTTAAATCAATTTATGAATTTGATGTATATGTTTTGCTTAAGAAAGATATTAATGTTATATTTTCTAAAAATCATCGCGCAAATAACGAAAGATTTCTTAGTTTAAAAATAAATAATAAAAAAATAAATAAAATTGAAATTTATCAATATATTTACCTAACAATATAGAAAGAAAATTTAAAAAAGAAGTTCTTTAAAAATTATTTGTGTGCTTAAAACAAAGTGCTAAATAAATTAAACAAAAAAAAACACTTTTAAAACAACACTATTTTTTATCATTATTAGTTCATATAAATAATAAAGTTAAATTAAATAATTACCGAATTCTGAACGAAAAAACAAAGTAAGGCTTAATTTCCTAAAAATAAAAACAAAAGAATTATGATATTCGATAATATATTTAACTGACTATATTGAAAGAAAATTAAAAAACACGATTATACTCCTTAATAAAACGAAGATCTAAACGATTTTAAAAAAAGAAGTCGCAATCGCAAACAATACTAATTTTTTTGAATAAACAAAGTTGATTGACTTATGTCCAAATCCAAAAGAGGAAAAATAAGTTTTGTTATAATTTTATTTATAAAAATGAAAACTGTTAAAGATTTATAAATTTAAAATCAGTAATAAAAACCCATTAAATAATTATTTTATCCAAAAAGTTTTTAATGAATTAAAATAAAGTAAAAAAGAGCCTAACAAATTTAACTACCTTTTAATTTAATTCTTTATGGGCACATTAAATTAGATTTCCGTTTGTAATAAATTCAATAATGTAAAATAATACTTAAACATATAATATCAAAATTAATTTTCTCATTTAAAAATAAAAAAGAAAGTTTTATTTCAAAAAAAATATACCTAATTAATTAAGAAACACTTCTTTATATATTCTTTTCAATAATAGATTACGTTCAGGACAAGGTAACGACGATCACAAAGTCAGTCCCACTGAAAATAATCTACAAGAAACGATATCAAGTCGCGACAAAGGAGAAAAAAAAACTAAGAGGTGCGGAAACGAACATGCGAGATCCGCTCATCAATCAAGGCCGCTTCAATATAACGATACGTACATCGTTTTCCCCAGCGCGAGTTGGCATCGGAACGTAAGAGATCCTTTCGTGTCTTGTATCGCTGTATCGTATATCGCAATATCGTTCGTCTTCTTTACTCGACGGCTTAAATCAGATTTCTGATGCATCGCCTGGAACGAAAGTCGCTGTATCGGCCTGCCGATACAGTCGTTAAATCGATATGTCGCGATATATCGATTTATAGTCCAGTCCTAATAGTAACCGTAAAAGTTTATAGGGCAAGACACCATAAACCTATGGTTACCATAGATATCTGTATAGTATTTCTAGGGCCAGACAATCAACTTATGGAAACGTACCCTATTGTATTGGATATATTGTATTATGTTTTTAACTTTTTAATATCAAAATTTCTTTAATTAGTAGGCATCAATGGCTGCTGTCAGTAAGCGGGTGGGTGACCACTTTGATCAGCCTGCGCAGGGACCGAGAGAGCGTGGTATCAGCCCTCGTTAAACTGTTCTACCACTTTTCTTCTCGCTGTTCTTCCTCGTTAAACTGTTCTGTTGCGCTAGCTAATTCAATGAAAATATAACGGTGTTCAGTAAAAATCAATTTTTGTCAATATCTTCAAAACCAAACAGCAAAACGGTTTTCAAATGTGAATTTGGAATAATGAATTATATTCGAAAAGGTAAGATATCAGGTAAAGGTAAGATTAGCAAGATATCAGTACAATTTGTCACATTTCAAATTGTAATAAAAGGTTTGTCTAAAGGACCTGTGGCGGTTTTGTTCGAGTCCACAAGAGAATCTTTTTCTTCGGTCTATCGTGTTTAACCCTAAAGTGAAGAGAAGTGAGCTATTCTTGTTTCCATAGCAGCCTCAGACTTCGCAGTGGAGGAGTTCTTACCGTAGACAAAGCTGCGGTAAGTATTTCTTATATCCATAATCATTGAGTTTTTTTTCAATGAATTTATATATATATATATATATCTAATATAAGGGCAACAACCCCTATATTTTGGTGGATTTATTTGTCAAGAAAGCAGGAATAATGAGAACATGTTGTGCACAAGATTTTATTTACTATATAGATCGTGAAGCCGAAGTCACATCCCCGCTCTCCCGGCTGGAGAGGGGGGACAAAGTTCCAGTCAGATCCGACGGAGTTTAGTTTGTAAACATTATACACCAAAAAGTCACGCAAAAACATTGCTCCTGCATTTTATAGGATGATTTTTAGTTGTAAAGAGGCCCAGTCATATGCCTTTTTCTGTATTCTTACGCCTCATCAATTTATTTATTACTCATAGCAAATCGTTTAATCTTTCCTTATATGGAAGTGAAAGATNACATATGCTACTATTTACACGCTGTCACATGTAATAGAATCCCCCTTTTGCTACAGTATATTCTGAATAATGAAAGCTATCAAATGTTTCTTTGGCGAGATTATAGGTCGGATTCCTCGTAATAAAATAGCTCTAAGGATGAAATAGATGTTTGCTGCTAAACATGATATGTAATTTTTCAAAAGTAAAATAAAATCTAACTACATTTTTGCTTTGTAAATTAAATAAACAAATTTATGTTTATTTACTCAAGGAAAAGTTTAACTTTAATCAAAAATAATATTCCTAACTCTTCTTTAAACTTGCGACTTCTGAATCCATATACTAGAGTATATGGATGTTTAAAGAAAGACAGAGGAAAGTATATGTTTAAATGTTTTGTTATTAATGTCATATAAAGTCATTAAGACTAGATAAAGAAAGATTGAAGAAAGTAATCAAATTTAATTACTAATTAAAAAAAAGTCAAATAAAATGGGTAAAATTTTCATGGAATTTGTTAGCATATTATTAAAAAGAGAGCTTTTTTTCAGATAAAAGAGACTTTTTAGTACACTTAATATGCATTTTTTGTAGGAAAAAAAGAAAATAGTACATATGAGCATTCAATAAACAATTTGATCTAGCTATCTTAACCAAAGAAGACGTAGTACTTTGCCCAAAATAACCAGATGACAAGCAAATTAGAAGTTGAAGTCCAAAACTAGATTTTACAAATTTTGAACCAAAGCAATTAGTCACAGAGGATTTTAAAATGAAAACCATGATTAATCATAAAATATGCTGCAATTTTAATTAAAAGCTGTATGTACATACGAAAAATATTAGTTTCTTTTACCAGAATATTTCTTATTTTCATAGCGCAAATAAGAAACAAATCTTGCTTTATGAATTTTAATTAGGTTTTGTCAGTTTTGAATCTGTTAAATTTGTGCTATATAACCTAGATAGGGCCGATTTTAAACAGAAAAAAACTTATTTCGTTTTGATCAATCAACTAGGTATGACCTGACTAACTAGATGGAGTTGCAAAGTATGAAACTGGATCATACAATTTAGGAAATATATAACTTTTTCTCTTTACTTTATATTTCCTAAATTGTTATCCTAAATTGTAAATGCAAAATGTTATCGATAACAGCAATTTCTATTTTTTCTCATATGTCTATTAAGATGTTAGCTTAAAGAAAAAAAAATTATATAACTTTTTCTCTTTACTTTATAATTTTTTTTTCTTTAAGCTAACATCTTAATAGACGTATGAAAAAAAAAAAATAGAAATTGCTGTTATTGATAACATTTTGCATTTTCATATTGCATTGTGTTAACAGAAATATTTTGATGGTCCCCTACAGATAAAAAAAAAATGTTCGAAAAAATATCCAAGAAAGACCATTGACGCGGTTCTGTTTATTAACATGTTAATGGGCGGCCTGATCCTCCCTTTAGATTTCCAAGGCAGAGGATGTATCTTCTTTCCTGACATGATCCTCCATCACCCGCTATAGATGATATTGAGTCTCCATAAATCCCCCATCTCTTTTCCCGTTTTTTTTCCGATCCTTAATCCAGAAAATAAGACCCTCTTTTCTGTGAGAGGAAGGAAAAATAAAACAAATGCAATAAAAATAGGGACCTTTCTAGGAGAGAAGAAAAAAAAAGTGAAATTATCCCTATCATTCTATTGTTTTATTCTATATTTATGATTTTCACTTTATATTGATCTGTTGTTTGGAATTGTGAAAAGGACTCGGGTTGAAACCTGAATTATGTCCCGTATTATGTGCCATTGAGGTGTGTGTCATAGAAAATCCATCGATGGGTTATTGATAATCTTCGTAGTGGAACAATAGAAAAGAATTCAAGTAATTTAGGATCTTTTTTTTTTATTCCAAAGGATTTATTGATATGTATGATTCTAGAAGTTGGCTGGGTTTTCAGGGTTACTGGTTAAAATTTAAACATCATACTAGTATGTTTGAAGTTAATGTTTATGTACATTCAGGAAAGTATATTTTTTATTATTAACATTTTAACATTTTGTAAAGGATAGAATGACTATATTTAAAAAATAAATATTTAAATAAATTACTCCAAAATTTATTACAACTTACGTGAACCACTCTATAATTTGATTCGAAATTTATTTTAAAGTAAAGTAATTCCGCAAAAGCTAATTGTTGGCTAATTGTCATGGAGTATTCCCATGATCGTGGTCACAGCTCAGAGATTAATATCACAATAATGGCAATGAGGGCAGTATTATGAACCAGTCACTCTTACTATCGATATATATATATATATATATATATATATATCATAACCCAATAGGAAGTATAAACAACATACCTCATAATAGCAAAGGAATCCACTTTGTTTTGTGACGTAGCCGGGTCTACCGGGTCCCTTGGCGGGGGCGTTGAGGCCGTGGATGGCAGGATTGACGAGAGTGAATGTCTTTGCATAGGTAGCTATCCCTAGATTCAACTTCTTCTTCTCCACCCCTAGATCCACCCACACCTGCATCGCCGCCATCTAAAAAACAAAGAATATAGTTTTCAATATAATGAGTGATCTTCAACAGTTGACGGGAAAACTGATTGAAATTAAATGGACTATCAGTTAAGTTGACATTTTGAGTGACTATAAATTCCTTTTGGGCGATCTGCCTTTTCTACAATTTCCACAGGTAACGTATAAGTAGCGAGGAACCAGCTGTGTTGATTATTTTGGATAGTCTTTAACTTAAACAACTCGTAGCGTGTTCAAAATTGACAAGAATTTTAACTTAAAATATAACTTAGTATGAAACTGACGTGATTCAAGTGGCTCATGGATAACCTCTTGGGTAAACCAAATGAGCTGAACCTAATCTTGCCATAGGTATTTTACTTTATTCTTATTTATTTGATAACATTTTTGAAAGAATGTAGACAAAAAAGGATATTTGGTTTGAGGATTGATATTTTTTAATCACAAATATCAATTTTGTTATTCTACCCATCTCAAAATTCTTGATGGTCCCATCAAAACATTTTGATGGTTTCAGTGCGATTCATGATGGTCGAACATCATTGGATGTTCACCATCATCCAACATTTTCCTTTACGCGTTCATGGCTTTTGATATGCCAACAGACCTTCATCATTCTATGATGGAAAATGTTTTTTTTAGATACTATGATGGCTAACCATCAAGAGAAGTTTGATTCTCATGGATCGTGATAGTTCCAACGATACATTTTAATGTCGGTTTAATGGAAATTATTGTTGGTTCACAGGAATATAGCATCAAAACAATTTAGGTTTTTGTTAATGTTGACCCATCATAAATCAGTCCGAATTCCTACAGTGGGGTGATAGCGGTACACGATCGTTCAACATTTGATTTCTAAGAAACTATAATGAAAATTTATGGTTCAACCTGAACAAACCATTAAAACAAATTGCTATTCTTATGTTGGACCCTCATAAATCAGTCCAAATTCCTACATTGAGGTGATGGTTACTTATGTTGTTTACCATCAAAAATTGTGATAGTTCATGATGGAATTATGGATGGTTACCATCAAGATTATGTTGGTCCATCGATGAAAAACCCTCAAAAATTTATATATGTGTAAAGTGCTATAACTAAACTGATACATAGAAATAAGAACTGTTTCGAAATTTTTCATCTAATGGTTAGATATGTAATAAAAATATTTAAAGTTTAAAATACTAGAGGTGCAAATAACACTACATTTTCTTATTTATTCTTAAAAACCATTTCCCCCGAAAAACTACAAAAATTAAATTATTATTAATTAGTAATAATTTTTCTTATGAGTATTAGTAATAACTTATTTAGAGTAATAAACTAAACGTGAAAGCTGTATTTCGAAATTTTATGCTATTATAAGCTAAAATATGTTTGCAAGGTGTATTAAGCAAAATAAGAATAATAAAAAATGAAACGAGAAAAACGCTATGAAACATAAGAACAAATTGTTTTTATTTTGTATTTATATCATACGCAGTTTAAAGAATTTAAAGTGGGATGGAAATACAGCACTAAAACTTCTTAAAAAAAACAATACGAAGTAAAAATTTTAAACTTTCGTTTTTAAAAATTTAAATATTGTTTTAATTGCAAATTTTGTTTTGAAATTTGCTGGTCAGAGACGATGAGTAAATTATTAAAATTATTTTTTAAAATTTTAAAGACAACAGAAAAAACAGGATTTGTGAAATATTTAAAAAATGTTTTCTTCCGGTACATTCTTTTGAGAAAATTTCAGTTAAGTGTCCTTGACAAAATAAAACAAATTGATAAATATAAAAAAATAGCTAAAATTACTTTTATAATTCGCATTTTTTTTCAATAATATTTGAAGTAAAATGAATTAAATAAAATATTTTAAGTAGGAATAAAATGAGACATATGTGAAAATTATTAGAAATTACTTCCTTAAAAACTTTAAATTGAAACAATATTATTTTTCTTATAAGAGATTCAAATAGTGTTAAGCCTCTCAAATTTCTTATTTCAATTCTTAACAACTTTTTCCTTTAACCAATAAAAATACGAAGAATTATGCTTTAACTCTTACATTCTGGTTTCAATAAAGTTAAAAAAAAAAAAAAGCGTACAGTGCGCAAATAAAAAAAATAAATAAATAAATAAACCGACTACCCTGAATATTTTTGGATCCAGTGATCGAATCTGCACGTTTTAGGACTTAATGGTTCGTGTGGTGACCTCAATTATGTTAATGGTGACGATATTTTTTTAATGTTCGTGCAGACGATATTTCGAAATAAGTCCCAAAAATGTATTTTCTCTGAATACATCTTTTATGATGAATTCAGATCTCCAAAATATAGATGGCGCCATCTGGGAAACAGGGTCAGGAGAGCGCTTTTTGCCCTGTTTCGATTACTTTTTAAGCGAAATGAAAAATCTTTGCACACTGTAAAAAATGCATTTTGAATGGTAAGCTATAAAATTTTTTACTTAACTTTATAAAGGATGTCATTTTACAATGTATAAACAAAGTAGGTCGATGACAACTTGAATTTCAAAACTGTCGCACATTTAATATTCGACTTCTCAGGAACTATTTGATTGATTTTGCTAAAATGTCACATTTTGTGATATAAAATTACATTCCATTGAATTATGCGAAAATTAGTATACCTTATCATTCAAAATCTTTCAGACTATTTTTAAACGAAGCGGGGGTGCCATCCCCTCTGCAGAGGATCAAAATTGTGATGGCATGTCTCCAGACCGTCGCCAATAGCCCATTGTGCAGCTCTAGTGCGAAGTAAATTAACAACAACAACAATCAAATACATTTTGAATATATTTGTTCTCCTTGTGTGAAGGCGTCTCAAGGTAAAGCAATTTTATAGGCAACTTTTCCCTTTTCCATGGTATCCCTTTATCCCAATTTATTCCCTATTTCTTACTGAGAGCCGCGATGGCTCAGGAGATAGAGCCTTCCAATGAGGCGAACCAGGTTCCAGTCGATACGAATTCCGCATCCGGCTTGGACCGATGTGAAATATCCTCAGAGGTAGACGGATCGTGGGTTAGAGTCCACTTGCAGTCAGGCTAACCGTGGGAGGTTCTCGTGGTCTTCCTCTCCATGTAACGCAAATGCCGGGATAGTTCCATCAAAAAGTTCTCCACGAAGGTAAAAGTCTCCCAATACTCGATCCAGGAGTTCCCTTGTCTTCTGGTTCAAAATGACAAGGCTACGGAGTTGAAACCCATAAAATTGGGCCGGCTGTTCAACGGCGGTTTTAAAATGAAATAAAATTACTTACTGAAACAAGATTTTCCGTATCGATGGCAGTTGAAGGTCGTATTACACAAAGGGGTTGATATTAAATAAAAAGACATACTTACTGCATTCAGTTTAGCGTCCTTGTCCCCTTCCACTTTGTCCATTTGTGTGTGATGACCAGTGGTCGTTTCCCAGGGACCATGCAAGTCATAAGTCATCACATTTATATGATGAACTGACCTGTAAAGTTAGACCATAACATAGAGTTAAAACTATCATTCATTAGACTATGATTCTTTTAAAGTTTTTTTCCATCTTGCACTTTCTTTCTTTTTTTTAAATAAAGAGAGGAACGTTATGATTTTTGTCCGTTTTATTCGGTTTTTCTAAAGATTCGATAAAATTTCCATTCTTATTTTTAGCAAAAAAAAGTTATTAGTTTTCCATTATACTATTTTTCAATTTTGTTCCATGTGTCACTTGAGGTTCGAGGCTCAAACCTTAAATAGGCTAATTAATTAGCGCATACGATATTTCAAGCTACCAAATCTGTCAAAAATTTGAATTCTTTACCTTTAAAATATGTTAAATGATCGAAATTAGGAAAATAGTCAAAAGCTTTTCTCACCTTAATGAAAATATAATTTTTTTTTTGTCTATTGACAATAAACTAACTAAATATAGTTTGTCTACGGTAAGAACTCCCCCGCTGCAAAGCTTGAAGCCGTCTGCTACTATGGAAACAAGAGTATTTCAGGGAGGGTCTCTTCACTCTAGGGCTAACACCGAAGAAAAAGATTCTGTCCTAAGCAATGATTCCCTACTTGAAATACCTCATTATCATAGTCACTGACGAATGGCTAGAGGAGTTGTTACTTTAGACAAACTATATAGAAATATTTGAGCGGTAATAGAAATGTTCACATTATTTCATACTATGTAATTGTTAAAATTCAAAAGAGTAAAATCGGTTAAATGTTTATAATATAGTCATGAAATTTCAAAGAGCTATTTTTTAAATTCTTTCAAAAATGTTGTCGAAATTTTAGGTAATTTAAAACTACTGGACTCAATAATGATGTAACATTTTTTAAACCCTGGTCATTTAATTCAGTTGGTTTCATTCGTCAGTCATAAAAATATATACTTTGCTGGAAATTATTTTTTGCGAAACAAGCGTCAGAAGTGTTTTGATTCATGAATTGTCAGTGGGAACTCCTATTTGAAATGTTATTCTGAGAAATAATCATTCATGACTTAAAATATCCTTTCAAATACGTCGATTCCACTTTATGTCGAATTCATTTTAAGTTCATTCATGCATTTAAGGAAAAACATTTTATTTGCTTAGTTAGACTAAAATTATGTGTCATTAAAATATTGCCGGAATGACACGATATTCGAAAGAGACATAATAAAAGATTTTAAAATGCCTTTTCGGTCAAGTTTAGAATCAAGTTTTGTTTGGTTATTCGGTGAAGTCTAGTTTCGGTGAAGTCTAGTTTCGGTGAAGTTTAGTTCGGTGAAGTTATAGAATTTGATATATTCTGGCAAAATGAGATTGGTTTATATACACTAAAAAATCGACGCACCAAGAAGGAGTTGTCCGATTGAAACGAAAATTGGTGGATAGGAAGACAATGTGCAGAATAGTAAATGATTAAAATTTCAGAACAATTGAATAATTTATTGCAGAGTTACAGTAACAAGTCAGATAAGGTGTTGACCCACCTCTAGGCTGGATACAAGCTGCCACACGGCGTGGCATAGACCGATAAAGCTCCCGGATGGTCTCTTGCGGTATTTCCTGCCAAATTCGATCCAATTGTCGAACGAGGTCATCAACATTCCGTGCCAGATGCAATCGCCTTCCCATCATATCCCAGACATGCTCGATGGGAGAGAGATCTGGTGATCTGGCAGGCCAAGGAAGAGTTTGACAAGCTTGCAGACAGTTCATAGCAACACGTGCCGTATGTGGTCTGGCATTGTCCTGCTGAAAAACCAGCCCAGGGCGCTGCAAAAGGAACGGTAGCAAAACAGGTCTTAGGATGTCGTCGACGTACCGCTGTGCAGTAAGTGTACCTCTAATGACGACCAAAGGGGTCCGGCTGTCAAAGGAAATGGCACCCCAGACCATAATGCCAGACCATAATATTTAGCCAAACAAAAATTATTAAACGACATAGTTGTTTCTTTTTTCGGATGGGAGGAGGGACTGCAAGCGATTAATTTGGTTAACAATTGAACTTTAAACAAGACTATCCATGGGACGAAAAGCTATCCAATCCATGGAATATTCTATTCATGTAATGTGGTGTATTGTACAGAACACAAAATAAAAAACAGATCCCCCTTAATAACTTTTGATCTAATGATCGGATCTTCACGTTCTAGGACGCTATCTTAATAGTTTGAGAGGATGACCTCAAATATGTTAATTAATTATTGCAGTCTATATCTTAAGCTATGAAATTAGACACAAAAACGCACTTTCTCTCAATAAACATGCCTTTTTTTAACGGATTCGGTTTTCTAGCAAAAATATGCGTGGATCTAGGAAATAGGGCCTCGATAGTTTGGACAGGAGAACGAGCCGAAGTTTGGACACCTTAATGTTAATTTTACTTTTTCCGTATTTCGCCATATCTCGAGAACGAATGGAAAAATTGAAAGCGAATCGAAAATGTTTTGTACACAATAATTAAATTTTTTTATTCAAAGATTATTCCATCAAAAAAATTTATTTTAGTAAATATTTTTTTAAAATTATTTTACTTAATATTAGCCAAAAAAAGTTTGAATTGTAAGGTATACAATTTTTTAAATCACTTTAAAGTATGCAATTTTACATGGCAAAATACAAAATTTGAACGAAATCGGTTGAATAGCTTCCGATAAATCGAATTTTAACGAAGTCTTATATTTAAAATTCGATTTCTCAGAAATTATTCAACTGATTTTGCTCAATTTTTCTATTTTGCCATCTAAAATTACATACTTTAATATGATGTCAAAATTTTTATACCTTACGATTCAAAACTTTTTCAACTAATATTAAATAAAAAAATTTAAAAAAAAGATAAATATTTAGTAAAAGTTTTTTTTTGCATTGAATTAATTATCTTTGGATAAATGAGTTTTATTATTGAGTGCAAATTTTTTTAAAATTCCCCTTAAAAGTTCTCGAGATATGGCGAAATACTCAAAATGTAAAATTACCATTAGGGGGTCCAAACTTTGGATCGCTCTCTTTAACAAATTTTTGGGACGTAATTTCCCAGATTGCGGCTGCCCACTATATATTGGGGGTCAGACATCCGGATTCGTCGAAAAAAAGTACGTTAATTCAGAGATTTTGTGTCTGATTTCGTAACTTGAAATATCGTCTGTACTAATTCATTAGCATACCCCCTCAAACCATTAAGATTGAGTTCTTGGAGCGTGAAGATCCAATCATTAGATCAAAAGTTATTTAATGTGGTTTACTTTGCACGCTGTACAAAGAGAACGTTTCCAAAATGTCGATAGGTGCTTATTCATGCTGTATGTAATTCAAATGAATCCTTAGGAACATTCTTCATTTCAGCTCCTAAAGGAAGAAAGTAAAATGTGGCTGACTCCTTTTGTTTAGAACTAGGTAATCATGAAATAGCATTAATCAAGTGCACGCCTATTTCGATGTCAAAACGATATGCATTTCATGAAAGAAGAGGAAAAAGCAGCGATTTCAGAGATTCTATAAAAAAAAAAAACCTAATAACTGACAGAAAATGCGTAGAACATTCCTAAAATAAGGTCAAAAATATCGACATTTCAGAATCTGTCAAAAATGTTAAGGCCCATAATAGCATATGATGTTCATACAGAAGCATGATCACTAGACATAGTTGTATATAAAAGTTATATTTTTTTGTTCAAGAACCCTAAAAATTGATTTAAAAAATCATAAATGATTTACAGGTCACTTAGTCATTTAAATTAAATGAAAAAAGTAAATTTTATTCAGCTTCGCGTACTTAAGATACAAAGTTCTATACTATAAACCCATACTAGGGTATTTTTTCTACAGGAGTCACAGTGAAAATCGATTTCGCTCGCGTGGCGTAATGGCATGTGCGTGGATCACATCTGTCGTCAGTTCTGCATAAGTCAAAATTTTTGAGGGTCCCAACAAAATATTTTCATGGTTTATGATGGTTTCAGCGAGATTCATGAGGGTCCATCATTATTTGAGAATCACCATCATACAACATTTTCCATAACGAGTTCATGGTTTTTGATATGCCAACAAACTCCCATCATTTCATGATGAAAAATGCTGATTTAATAGTATGATGGTCAACCATCGAGAGAAGTTTGACCCACAATCCCTGATGGTTCCACATTTCCATGATGGTTTAACAGAAGCTCTTGTTGGTTCTCAGGAATATGCCATCAAAACAATTTGGGTTTTCTTATGCTGGACTATCATAAATCAGTACGAATTCCTACATTGGGATCATGGTTGTTCACGATTGTTCCAACATTTGATTTCTAAGATACTACGATGGAAATTTATAATGGTTCCATCTGAACTAACCATCCAAACAAGTTGCCATTCTTATGTTGGACCCTCATACATCAGTCCGAATTCCTACATTGAGGTGATGGTTACTTATGTTGGTTACCATCAAAAAATATAAAGGTTCATGATGGAATTATTAATGGTTAAAATCAAGATTACGTATGTCTGTCCATCCATGGAAAACCATCAAGAATTTTGATTTGGGTCGACACAATTCTATAGCTAGTGATGGAGTCAAAATCTGGTAACGAAAGATGAGTCATCCGTCTCTCATGAAACATTTTTGGTACAAAACCGAAAGCTTATTAGTACCACCAAATGATGTGCCAACTCCTTTCAATTGTGCTTTTTACTTCGTGATGGATCGGGAAATGGCTATCGTATAAATGATAAAAAATATCGTATAATTTTAATTCTAGTTAAAACATTGTTGGATAAAATGCCTACTTTGACACCTTAGGTCCATCATAAGCAGCTAATATCTCTCTTTCTATGGCACCAACACTTATGGACAGAATCATATCTTCTTTATCGAATCTTTTTCGTAGTTTCTGCAGAACCAAAACATAAATGAGAAAAAATATCGAAGTATATAATATAAGTGTTTCTTTATACATATAAATACAGTCGCTGGCCAAATTATTTGATGCACTGTAAGATTCTATGTAAAATCTTAAATATACAGGTGATACTATACAGCTTTAGTGTTTTCAAGAGACTGTTAGCACTTGTTTACGTACGTGTATTAATTGGTTAAATTAATACAAAAGTATAATACAAATTTAACTACTGGATAAATTAGACGATATATTATATAAATATAAAATAATTATTATATCAGGTATTGTATTAGTATATTATAATAATTAGACACAATTATTTGACCNTTTTATAACTGTTTGTTATATATACTCATAGATAATGACAAAAAAACTATATATTAAATCCATAAATTATATATTTATATCAATAATCCATAAATAGAACTTATATTATATCTAATGAGCAATCAATTAAAACCTTTCTTTCCAAAAATTATTAGCACTGAGCTCAGAAAATGTGTCTTTAGTAGCTTGATAAATTGACCCACATTACTAAGAGCTGTAAATATTTAAATATATTGTCCAGAAAGATATGAAAACAATCTTTCCAAAAGTCAAACTGTCTCTTATCAACCAGCATGTAATGGGCTTTTTTGAGGCACTTACTTTAATAAAATTGCATAATTTCTTCATTTTCCTGCCTTTATTTTCAATAAGCAAAGGACATCCTACGAATTCACAATGCTAAAGCTTTTAAAGCATAACAATGGGGAAAAAATTGGGACATTTTGTGCTGTAAAATCAGAACGGAGAAGCGCAAGCAGTGTTGACGTAAAATATCCTCAGTGGTAGACGGATCATGGGTTGGAGTCCCTTAGGCTTATGGTGGGAGGTTCTTGTAGTCTTCCACTCCATGTAACGCAAATGCGGGTTAGTCACCTCAAAAAGTCCTCCACGATGGCAAATTTCTCCCAATACTTGATTCAGGATTTCGCTTGTCTTTGGGATTGGGTTCAAAATGACAAGGCTACGGTGTTGAACATAAGTAGTAATGAAAAATTACTGGGACGGCCTTGGCCTGTCATAGGCTGTAGTGCCCAAGAAGAAGATTTTACATTTTGTAATATAAATATTTTCTATTCTGGTGACATCTACCGAATAAAAAATGAAGCAAAATATCATGAAAAACATATTTATCATTTATATTTTGCAATATTAATATTCTCTATTGTAGCGACATCTATTGAATAACCAATGAAGCAAAATATCATGAAAAATTTATAATTTTTATTATTTATTTTGTGCAATAATAATATTTTCTATTGTGGCGACATCTATTGAATATTAATGGAAGCGAAATATGAAGGAAAAAATATTTATATTTCAAAATACTGATATTTTCTATTGTGGCGACATCTATTGAATAACAAAGGAAGCGAAATATATAGAAAAAAATATAATATTTACAATTAGTAATATTAATACTTTATTTTGTGGAGACATCTATTGAGTAACAAATGAGGCAAATTATCAATAAAAATATAATATTCATTATTTAGTAATATTAATATTTTCTATTGTGGCGACATCCATTGAATAACAAATGAAACTAAATATCAATGAAAAAATATAATATTCATTATTTAGAAATATTAATATTTTCTATTGTGGCGACATCTATTGAATAACAATGGAAGCGAAATATGAAGGACAAAATATAATATTTATTATTTAGTAATATTAATATTTTCTATTTTGGCGATATCTATTGAATAACAAAGGAAGCAAAATACCAAGAGAAAAATGTAATTTTTATTATTTTTATTTTGTGATATTAATATTTTCCATTGTGGTGACATCTATTGAATAACAAATGTTGCAATATATCAAGAAAAAAGGATTCTGGGATATCGAGGACATTTTTATACCGGCCTTCTTTAGACTAGTTATCCTCTTTTTGATTATTTTTCCGTGAGAAGGATATGCTGTATTTTTAATTTTTTAAAGGTGAAAAATTCTTTCCAGCATGCATCGATCTGTCTTTTTCTCGCTGCAATTCCCATTAGTTTTATTCAAGATTCCTCTCTTACATTTTTGCCTCCTCGCAAAGTAAGAATCATGTCAGAGAATAAGGAAACGAATTGAATGCCTAATTTGCGACGTATCTATTCGTTGCATATGGTTAGAATTTTTTCTACCGGTAGAATATGTTAAAAATATTAATATAATTTACTTGACGAACCGCATGAGGTTTTTAAAAATAATTGAAATATATATATGCTGGAAAAACGTTATTATGTGCTATAATATTGACATTTATTTGGCACAATTTATATTTTTTTGTTTTGTTTTCGAACACATAATTTCTTGTATTTTCATAAATTTTATATTACTTTTGTCACATTACTTAAAAGGATTGAAACCTATTGATAGTATATTTGTCAAATGTTCAATTGAAATTATAATTTGTACACTCATTTATTTGAAAAATAAATTAAATTAAAGTAGTTTTCTTAATGGCAGACTGTAGAAGAAAATAGTCTACTTAGTATGATACATACATTCAGTTCCTGGCCAAATTTTTAGACGCAATAGAAAATTCAATGTGAAATCTTTATTATCAGGTACAAATTCGATAAACGGATAAATTAGACGGTATATTAAATAAATTTAGAATATTTATTATAACAGGTATTATATAAGTATATTATAATAATTAGACCCAATTATTCGATGCACTGTAATGCTTCATTAATGACATGTTTTGCACTAGTTTATATGTAATATTTTTATATTTAAACATACAAGTAATAGGATTTTATTCAGGAGATTTTCTATATACTTCTTATTTGTATTTATTTTTAACGCATTGCATTACAATGTTAACCCATTGATAGACGAACATAAACAAATGTAAACCGGTTTCGATCGCCTAAAAACGATACAGCTGTATAGTATCACCTCATAATTATAATTTTACATCGAATCTTACAGTGCGTCTCGTAATTTGACCAGAGACTGCAGATAGGTAATCGAAATATTACAAAAATAAGTAAGTGAAATTAAGTAAAATAAACAACTTTTCTGATATTCGAATAGGATCTCATTCTTTTCAAAATTAAAGAGGCACATTATTTTTTAGATAGAATTTGTTTTCCTCTCTTTATTTTCGGTAGAATAAACATGTTTTAGAGAACAATAATTGGTATTCTTTGTGCATTTCCTTCATACACACAGTTCAGATAGGAAGAATGTCTCTTACCTCTAGAAATTCTGCGTAGTTCTTTTTATCTTTAGGGCTGACACCCAGAGCCCCCTGCCAACAGTTTGGATATTCCCACGCAACGTCTAAACCATCGAAAGAATGCTTGTTCAACAGCTCCACCGCCTCATTGATGAAATGATCCACCCTTGCACCAGATTCCACCAACTCCGAATACTTTTTGGTGCTGTCTTGCCACCCGCCCAGTGACAACAGAACCTTTAGTTTGGGATTCTTATGTCTCAAGTCGGTGGCTGACTAATCAAAAACACATCATTTCAATAAAACAGACTCTGTATAAATAAATCATGATTTGAACAGTACCATTTTAGTCGATTTAATGGGTGTTTTTCTTCTAAAAAGGTTTTTAAGTAATTAACTGCCATTCTTTTCCCTCGTCGACCCGCGGGTCTCACCCTCACTGCAACATGTTTTTAACCTTTCATGCTTACCTTTAATTGAAATCACATTTCTCTAAAGTTTTGAATGAAGATAAAATAGAATTTTCCATGAAAAGTCCTCTTAACCTCGAATGGGTCAGGATCGCGCTAAAATTCAATAAATACGATTGTCCTTTCATCATATAGAATTTTTATAACTGTTTGTTATTCATGACTTTTGGGTCAGGAATTGCAATCAAACTTAAGATTTTTTCTTTTTTAACATTTGACACCGCTATAGTTTACAATTATTATTATTTATTTTTTTTATAAATATGTTTAGTTTTTCTTTAAAAAAAATATGAATCCATTTGATGAATCCATTGATAAAAGAAAAGTTTATTTCCAAGGAAGCTGATACTGGGGAGAAACGAAATCTTTTTTCTTCAACATTTTTACGGAGCTATTACCCAGGTAGTCAAAACTTAGTAAATGCGACAGATCTGGTAGGTACTTTATTTGCGTCGCACTAGAAGCTGTACAATGGCGACAATAGTCTGGGAAACATTCCCTGAGGATGATCCGAAGATATGCCATCGCAATTTTGATCCTCTGCAGAGGGAATAGCTCCCCATGCTTTGGCGGATTGACTACCTGCGCGAATTCAAGCACTTTACGATAGAACACTTTAACGAGGGCCGGTACCACGCACTTTCGGCTCCTACGCAGACTGATCCAAGTGGTCATCCACCCGCTTATACTGACCGCAGTCATTGATGCTTGACTTCGGTGTTCTGCTGGGAACTGTGTCTTTACAATCAGTCTACAGCGACAGATCTAATCGTCATTTTTATGAAATTGTTTTCTCAATTTTTCAATTTTAAACAGGGTTTGGGGTTTAAACGTCCTAAACTGATTTTGGACAGGGCATTTTGGTTTTACTGTCTTAAGTTGTCCTAAACAGACTAAAACTGTCTTAAAGTGTCCAAAACCTTGAACATTGGTAAAAGGTAAAAATTCTACATGTGTAACCATTGTATACATAATAACTACATAGATATTTAATGCTTTTTATACAATTTGCTTTAACCTATTAAAGGAAAATAATATAATATAATAGGAAAAGTTTCATGACTTTTGACTTTAACCCCACAATTCATTGAACAACAAAAGTGAATATCTTATTCTATAAATAGGAATAAATATGCTTTTAATACTGATAAATTATGTTTTTGCATAAGGATAAATAATGCAATATTAAAAGTAATAATAAACTTTGTTCATAAAATCAAAACCTGTCTTCATTTTTTTTCGTGTTCAAAAATTAACATTTTATTTTTCTTTTTTAAATTGCGATATAATTTGAGTGAATAGGTTTTTGGACAGTTTTTGGAGAAAGGGATTTTTGGACAGGACGGCTTAAGCCGTGGATTAATCCATTCATCTTTGAAATGGTTAAATGGAGAACTTACTTGAAACATGTTGAGGTGTATATCGAGTTCGGGATCTCCAGGTTCCATGAGGTATGTTTCCCGATTGAGTGTAGCGAATTCGTAGTTGAGGTGGGTGCATGAATGTGCATCAATATCGCTCACGTTGTGTCCCTGGTGGTAATACTGCTTGTGATTGTACAGGCAGACTATCCTTCGACCTTTCAACTCGTCTTCATCTTTGATTGCCTGACCTTAAGAGAGGAACGAAAATTCAGTATCAAGTAATGCCATTCTAAATACCGGTCTCAAGTTTGGCACTGTAAAGAAAGCATACATGGCAGTACTTTTACTTTCGTTACTTGTACCGCCGGTACAAGTAAAAAGTACGTAGTTTATCCTAATTC